GGGTGGTGGAGAAAGGCAGACAATAACAGAGGTTTGGTCAGAAGCAAAGAAGCAGGGCTCTGTTGTCTTCAGCTGTTGTGAGGAAAAAAGGCATGACTGATATGACCAGTTATGCTTACCAAACTTCCATTTGCCTTCTTTGCATTTGGCTACCTCACTTTGTGCCCTGCTTCTTAACTTTTGAGATACAAAACTTTTATGGTTTTTCAGTTCCCTTGATTTCTGCACTAATATAAAATTCCATAATATACAATATTATATATAATCTTGTAGTTTTCTTATGTAGAGGATTTCTGGATAGGTGCAATGTGGATTTTTCTTTTGTTGTTTGAAACAATGTTCCTCAAATAGCTCTTTTCCCAGAGACCTGTCCTGTAGTGCTAGAGAGGAACCACTTATTGTCACGTGGTGAATGGGGAATTTAGGTTGGCCCTCCTGTTTCTTTCAACAGGCAGAATTAGCCAGCTCATCAGATTGATCTATGGCTTCCTCTGGAAGTGAGGATAATCGGGTTTATCAGAATAATTCCTGCCTGTTTCACAAGGGATGTTATTTCAGTCTTAAAATTCACTGAAATAAGATGAAGGATAATGATTACATTTCCATACTCTTTTGTTATCTTTCTGATAGACTGTACAATACTGTGTTAGAAAAAGCAATACCTTGCTCAGTATGCAGAGAAATCCAAGAACAGTTTAACTGTCTGCACTGCCCAAGTAAGGCAGCGATCACATTGCTAAAAATTTTTTGCCTTCTTAATGGTCTCCATTACCTTTCTATCCAGTTTCATCCTGGCCTAGCTTTAACAATGTTTTAAATCAAACCAGCTTTAAAAGAGCTACATAGCAGGAAAAAAATTGACATTTCGAAGAGAATGGCTTCTTCATGCTGAACAGCAGCAAAGCTTGACCAGTGTTATAATCCCTAGAAAACATTTCTTGTAGAGATGATGGGAGCGAGGCAGTGATTCTAAGACAGTGGGTGCTAACTACTGTATGGTAACAAGAATCAGATGGAAGAAGCGATTTTTAAATAAATTTGGATGCAATATTTATTCATCTGTTCTCTTACTTTCTAGTTGCCCACTGGAAGGCTTTTCCATGCTGCAGCAGTTATCGGTGATGCAATGTACATATTTGGTGGGACAGTGGACAATAATATTAGAAGTGGAGAAATGTATAGATTTCAGGTAACACTGTGAAATCATTTCATCTAGTTTAAGAAAATAAATTGTTTACTTTAATTATGTTTAAAGGGAAAAAATAGAGTAATTTCCTTTTCAAGGTTTTAACATTCGGTCTTCCTCTCATGCTAAGTGACAGGAGGAAACCCAGTGCAAACATGTCAGTCCCTTACACCAGCATTTAAAACTGTTCTTTGAACTCTGCTTTGGAGCATGAGAGCTGTCATGTTCATTTCTGCTACACCTTACTGTCCTATTGAAGTCCCACTGCCCATAGGTTTTCCCTGAGCATGTGGAATCTCATTGCTTAATCCCAAGAATGTAAGCAAATGATTTCTTCCTCTGCTTAACTAGCTGAATCCTCCCCTACAAATTGTGGAGAGGGTATGGCTGGATGTGTATGAACACAACTGTTCTGAGATACTTCAGTGCAATAAACTATTTGTCTCTCATTAGTTTTAGTTACCTATTTATCATAGGAAATAGTGTCAGTTTCTATTTGGAGGTGACTTCAGAAGGTTGCTGCATTTCAGGTAGCCATCTACATCACTTTTGCCACATGAATGAGGCTTCAATGTTTCATACTATTTCCTCTGCAAATTAATATTTAAATAATTTACTGCTTTTAACTTTTAATATTGTGTTTTTAATTGTGTAAACTGCCTCAGATCCTTTTTTAGGAGAACAGAGGGGTAAAAAGATTTAAACTAACTAACTAAATATTTTTATAGATTCTAAAGAGTGTTGTCTGATATACCTGATTTTGAATTAAAATTTTCGGTTTATTGGTAACTTTAACAATCATACACTGGCTTGTGTAAAACTACAATTATTATCATAACTTGTTTTCATTCAGACTTCAGCAGAACTTTAATTTTTTTATTTTCAGTTCTCTTGTTACCCAAAATGTACGTTACATGATGACTATGGGCGACTGTGGGAAACCAGGCAATTTAGTGACTTGGAGTTTGTTCTTGGAGAGGTGGGTGAGTTCTAATGAAAATGTTAATCAGAAGTTGCTTCAAAGTGACAAGGTGAAAATGAATAAATGTTGCAGACTGCTTTTGTATCTGCTCATGATTTATTTCTGGAATAACAATACTATTAGCATTATTTGTAATCCCTTTGAACTATTTATTTCAACAGACTGTAAAAACATGGTGAGAAAATTTTCAAATTAAGAGTTTCAGGATTCTAAATACGTGTGGAGTGTGTGTTAAGACTGAGTGTTAACAAAGAAATTTCTCAAATGTATGTATTTATATTCCTGTTGCATAAAAATGTATAATTCCTTTATGATTCTAAATTCATAGTCTAAATTGTTCATCCATTATGATCACATGACTTGTTATTCTTTTTTGTGGTCTCCTTGAAGTTATATATGCCAGTTGTGCCTGTTTCAGGGAGCTTCTGGAGGCATTTAGTGTTTTGGAGGGTGGTCCACCCACCAGTTGCAGCCTCAGGAGAGGGCATGCCTCTCACTTTCCCACATTTAGGAGCACATGGTTCCCACAAAAGCATGCACTTATAGAAGAAGGCAAACTTTCTGGATAGGAGTGGAACAAAGCACAAAGGACAAAAGCTGATCCCACAGCTATAAATACTCAACTCCCAAACAAACTGCACCAGAGCACAGAGTGCTACTCCAGTCCTTTGAAGATGCCGGCCACAGAGACTGGCAAAATGTTAGGAAGAACAACCTACAGAACACGGCCAAATAGACCGAAAAACCCACAACAACCATTAGATCCCAGCCTTCGCGAATACAAAGCACAAAGCTGTTTGTTCTTTTGTGAGGGGATACTAAGAGAACAAACAATATTGGTCAATTACATCTTCTACAAAGTCCAGGTCCTCCTACTGGGACTGTTGTCGTTTTCTGGCCTTTGTTTGAGAAGATGAGTGGCAGAGCTTGTGCTGCTGTGCAATCTCAACCTCTACTTTTGTTTGTCAGCTGGCTGTCCAAAGTGAAAGAGAGCCCTCTTTGGAAAGATTGTGAGGAGCTCCCTGGATCTCAGCACCTGCTATATCAACAGTGAGTGAGCTTCTGCTCTACCTATATGTGGAACTGCACAAAGGATCACACAGATACCTGTACCAGAGATGAGCTTTGGGAGCTCATCTCTGCAGTGATGCAGCCTTCCCTCCTGTCCTGCTGTAGGTGCTCGTATTAGTCACTTCTCCACTTTGCCTCCATTGTTAGGCAGCTGCAGTGTCAGACATTTGAACTGAGCAGGAATACAGGAGCCACATCCTCCTCACTCTGATTTGGAGAGTAGCAGTGAGGCATCCATCAGAAACTGCACTAATATAAAATACCGTAATATAAAATAGTATACCATTTCTGATGGATGGACACTTCACAGAACAGGTTCTGGGCAAATGTGGAACCTATATGAGTGACTGCTCAGGAACCACTTGAGGAAGTACTGTTACAGGTAAGGAACCTGCCTTTTTAGGGTGTCATGTCACCTACCCAAAACAGGAAATTGAAACTGACTGTGTTTGCAGCATTCTCAGAATTCAGATCTGCTGAATACTACAGTGTCAACAATGCAGTTTTCTTTTGTCTTTTTGTCTCCTCACTGATGACAGAAGGAAGAAAGGGTTCGAGGGCATACAGCTATTGTCACTGCTCGTTGTAAGTGGCTCAGGAAGAAAATCACACAGGCAAGAGAGAGGTTGAAACAGGTACGATATCTTGAAACAATTGTTCTTAGACTTCCAGTCTTCCAGTTCACCTTGTAAAACAATTAGCTGTTATGCCCATGGCTGACAATGACACAAACATTTGACAGACATTTCTTGAAGATTGATTTTATGGTTAATCACATATCTTCCAGATCTGCAGTTTTATTCCCTTTGCATAGCTGCTCCTTTCAAAGTAGTTCAGAGGAGATGGAAGATGTTAAATTACCTGTATCAGAGTATGTTTATTCCTAAATGGAAAGGCATGCATTGTGGTTAGATTTAGTTAAGTATTCACAACATCATTTTTTTTGTTTAGAAACCGAATGTTCTTAGTTTTTAGCAGCTATATGATACAAGAGCAAAATCAGTTTGCCCAGTTCTGTGTGTGATTGATTGGGTTCATAGAGAAATAAATTGTAGAAGCTACTATGTGTAGGATTGCCAAGTTTTTGCAGAATTCACTTTCCACCTTTCTCTGGTTATCTTGTTATACTTTGTTAGAAATCTAAACAAGACCTTGACGAGGAAGGACAGGGGACGCCTCAGAAGGAAATGGCAGGCAGCAGTGTCAAGCTTTGCCGCCTGCAGCCTCTTTTGGAAGTGACCATCCGGGAAGCAGAAGCTCAGCCTTTTGAAGTGCTCATGCAGTTCCTCTATACTGACAAAATCAAATATCCACGCAAAGGTGGGATATTCCTATCCTCTTATCCTGTTTTTGGGTTTGTTCATTTATAAGTCATGAGCATGTTAACCATAGTTGCTCTTCTGTCAGTAACAAACAGTTGGAAGCATATATACTTGGGTGTGATCGTGCCAGGTACTTATAATTCCAAATTTCTAAATGGACATTTTAGCATATTCCTCCAAAAGCAATGAGGCAGTCACTTCTTTCAAAAAAAGTATGGTTGCTGTGAAGGTATGGCAAATGCCAGCAACTGAATCAATTCTGTACACCGAGAGAATTCCTGCTCCTAGGATTGATCACATTTCTCTTAGTCCCTGACAGTATTGTATGGTTACTACCTTTTCTCCTGCGTCACTATCTGCAGCAGGAAGAGAGAACAAGTGCTCCTCCAGAAGGTGACGGCAACTCCTGTCATTCTGGGCCAACATAGGCCGTCGCTCGGGAGGCCATTGAATGCCATTTTTAGTTAAGATAATTTTTAATGCTTTACCTATTTGAATTGTTCAATGTATTTTAAGAAGTTTTATAGTTTAATTTTTAATACATATCTCACTGTGTATTCTGTTCTTTTTAATATTGCATTTTTAATTCTGTTCTTTTTAATATTGTGAACTGCTTAGAGTCCTTACCAGGAGAAAGGCTACTTAAAAATAAAAAAAACAACAGCAACTACTACTACTACTACTACTACTACTACTACTACTAATACTAATACAGTGGTGCCTCGCTTAACGATGTTAATTGGTTCCATAAAAAAAATCTTTATGTGCAAACATCGTTAAGTGAAACACCATTTCCCATAGGAATGCATTGAAAACCGGTTAATCCGTTCCAATTGGAACGGATTAATGCTTGTAATCATTAGCCAACCTCCTGAAACCTATGCAAACTTAATTTGGTGTTGTTCTGAGTCGTCGTTAATTTTTGGTGATTTTTTTTCTCTCTCATTGAAAAGCATTGGATCCAGAGAGAGAGGTGGGCTAATGATTGGGCTAACGATTGCAAGCATTTAAAACAGGCTTCAAACAGTTTAAGACACTTTTACAGGAGCGAAAAGGGAGATCGGAAAG